GCCGGGTCCGGCGGGCCTCAGGCCGCCGCCGCGACGCCTGTCCGCTGCGCGGAGGGCGCCGGTTGGGGAGGCGGAGGCTTGAGCTGCAGTGGAGGACCGGCCAGCGGGCAGCGCAGGCCACCAGGTTGCTCCAAACCCGTTCCGGCGCGGGCGCAGCCCTGCAACCTGCATGGCCTGGAGGGGCGGCCCCCTGCAGGTCCATTCCGGCCGCTGCTCCCCTATGGGGAGAGGCCAGAGGGGCCGGTGTTCCTTCCCGCGGGCAGGGCTGGCTGAATTCCTGCCCCCCTGGTGTCTGTTTGGGGGAGGGGAGATGGGGCGCAGGTGGGCTGATTTTTCCCTCTGCCAGCTCTCAGACTGTGATGCGACACTTGAACCTCAGTGGGCTGGACCAACAAGCCCAGCTTGGAAAGGGAAGCAATTTATGAGGCCTGCCATGACCCCCACCCCAGGCACCTGCCACACCTTACATCGTGCCGTCCACGTGAGTGCTGTTGCCCACTCTGCAGTGAGAAGGGATAGGCCTTCCCCAAGCGCACGTCTGTCAGACCCCACAGGCCCACTCTTTCCTCTCTACCCACTGGAGAAGTGAAGGAGGGAAGGCAGAAGGTGAATGGCCTGAAAGTTTTCCAGCCTCCAGACAAGGCCCAAGTGGCCTCTCTGCATTCTGCATGCCCTGTGAGGAAGAACACCAGGGCTCCCAAATCCAGGCCGTTCCAGGGACCGAGTTTGGGGGCAGCTGAGTTTGGAGGAAGGTGGGATTATTCTGCTCTAATCCCTATCCCACCCTGGTGCCACCCTCTCTTGGGTCACTCACAGTTGGGAGGGCAGACATGAGTGGGAAATAACCAAGAAAACAGACTGTAGCTTGTGCTCTACCAATGCCAACACCAATCAGCAGGGTCAGCTCTGGAAAGCTCCCAGGGCCTGGGTTCTCTTTGCAGGTCTCAATTGTTTCGTCTTTTCCTCTTCAGCCCGTCCCTAAAGGTGGTGCTCCCAGGCATGTGCTGGAGCCGGGCTGTGCTGTTCAGTAGCCAGGGCCACCCTGCGGTTGTCGAATTTCCAGGAATTCTGCAAACCGGTTGTTAAACACAGCCATCATTGAAAGTTAAATTATGTAAATTTACAATTAAATAAGTTCTGTTAAAATCAAAGGTAATAAATACTCAAAACTCATCACTCCCTAGTTATTTTACTATTACCTATGTTCTTTGGGTTATTTATACCTGTTGTATCTGTATGAGGAGCCCTGGGGCCTCAGTGATTAAGGGCTTGGCTGCTAACCCAAAGGTCAGTGGTTCAAACCTACCAGCTGCTCCACAGCAGCAAGATGTGCCAGTCTGCTTCTGTTAAGATTTACAGCCTTGGAAATCCTACAGGGCAGTTCTACTCTGCCCTATAGGGTCACTAAGAGTCGGAATTGACTCGATGGCAATGGATTTGGTTTTTTGTTTCATATCTGTATGGTGGTGGCACCATATCTGTATGGTGGTGGCATTACACAATGGCGTACTACTGCGCATCTTCCCAACTCCATGTTTAGTGACGTCATGATGAAGTTGGCCAGGATGAGAGTATTTATTCCATGGAAATAAGAAAATGCTACAAACCCGGGCTGATTTATGTTTTTTTTTTTTTTTTTTT